GTACAAAGTATGTCCGTCATGCCGGTTGAATTCATTGAAAACATGTAAATGCTTGTTATATTATAATGACACAAATAATCATTCTGTGTAATATTGTCGGTTATGCGATTGATTGTCACTGATTACTAAACGAGAAAATTCAGAAAAAAAGTATATTATACGAACCCTGAAAAATAAAATACTGTTCCATGTATGTACATCAGTTAAGTATTATTACTGTAAGGTAATAGAAAACATTACATAGCGTTGTAATCTGTAGTTTTATGAATTATACAAAATTATACTTAATACATTGATAAAAAAAAATACATTTGTATTAATCTTATCTATATTTAAATTATTATGAAAAATGATTGATTAAGTAGATTTATTTTAAATTTTGAGCGGAACATTGAATGTATTGATATAAAAATAATGTTAATTTTTTTTTTTTTTTTGTGCGTGTCTAAAACTCTAAAGACAATGTTTATGGGGGAAAAATTCTTTAATCTTCAACTTCAAAAATAAAAAAACTCACTGCATTTTTGTTAATAATAAATGGAATAAATTAAACAAAAACAATTGTTTTCGCAGTTATTTATGCCAATATTTAGTACACAATTTGTACAATTTTGTAAAACAATCCCCAAAATATTAAAAATAACTTTTTAGAGATAATTTTAAAAATTAAAAACTAAGCTAATTTTATTTTTTTGGTAAAGTTAGAAAAATATTTCTAAAGCCCATGACCCTTTTTCATGAATTTATTTGAAAACAAATTCGTTTAAATACGTACAAATTCTTCATTAAATACTCGCTAATAAACATTTTATAAAATTCAAATGTGATGGTGTGTATGTGATGGGGAAGATGGAGAAATGTATTTTTTTATATTTTTAAGAAATAGGAAATTTAAACAAAAAATTATGATTTTGTAATAATGTATCAAAAAGTATTGTTTGTAGTGACTTGAAACTTTCCATCATTATGCACATATAAGTATAATGTACTATTGTTATTTAATATAAAAACTTATACACATTAATATTTTTAATAAACTTAGATTAATTTTAGTTATGTTTACTATAAACCTACACATGTCGTCATACAGCATGTTGATAATGGCTTATACGTTGATAACAGCTAATATTATATTATGAAACATCAAATAATTATTATTACATAATATTGGAAGTATCAATGAAAAATAACCAATACTCAACTACCTATCTAAAGATTACCCTTAAACCTCTATATCGTGTTAAAACCTAAGCATAGGGGTTAGAGTTCCAAAAATTCTTCCTATCCTCTGACAAATAACGGATTTTCTTAAACAAAAAAAATATAAAACATAATTTTTTACAAATTATATAATTTAATGAATTATTATTTACAATTTGGTATTACATTAAATTTAAATGCATAAATCCTAAATACAATGATTATTTATGATATCGTATAATAATGGGTTTTTTTCTTTTTATTATATTACAATTTAGGAGGGAATTACAATAATATTACTTTCAACTAAATATTATACTTTTCACCTTGAAAAAAACAACACTAGTGCAACTTATTTAACAAGTAGTTAATTAGTATTTATACTATTGTAAGTATAAATTAATTGAATAATGGAACAACATTTTGGGGACTCTTCCTATGCCACTCCAATCAAATCACTATGTAAGATGAGTATTTTAAATATTATAGTGGTTTAATTAATATAAAAATATATTAAAAATACAATAAATATGGTGACGTAATTACGACCGTATTGTGTTATATATTAAAATAAGTCACAAGAATCAAAAAAACTAATATTTTTACCTCATAATATTTATAATAATTCAATATTAATAAATATTAATTGTTTTTCATTATACGCATCAGTATATCTTGCTTTTATCATTCTAAGGTATATAATTAGAATTAACTGGATAATCTCAAACAAAAGGATTAATGCTCTAAAATTTAATTTGGATCTTATATTTTTTTTTTTTTTAGTGGAAAATATTTTTAGGGTAAACAAAATCTATATATAAATCTTAAAATGTTCAATATGTTGTGGAATTAAAATATCATTATAAGGTTAAAATATTTTAGATAAATGATCTAAAATACCTCTTTTTTATGTGTATGTATCTATACAAATTTCTAAATTATTATCAGTATTTAATAAGAGGAAATTTTGAATTTTGACTAATCCGTTAATTTTTATTAATAACTAGCTGTATTAAATAGAATAATATTATAGTAGTTACTATATCAGATTTTGTGCAATTTTACTGTAGAAAAAATTCATCTAATCAACCATAAAATAAATATAAAAACTAATTATTAGCAAAATTAATATAAATATTCAATAAAATATCATTAGAAATATAGGTAAATAGAAAGTCACCGTTCAGAATTGTTTTTCGTGTTTGTAATTATTTGCCACTGAATTCAAATTTGACATATCCATTGCAATAACTTTCTTAATGACAATTTACATTCGATACTTGAAATATAACCGAGTGACTTTCTCAGTTTTTAAATATTAATCTACTGATTGTTGCAATATCACATTATTACAATACTATAATAAGTTATAATAGGTGTTCCGAGGAAGTTGTTTACCATATCCAATAATAAATTACATTTTTACCAAGTTCAACACACACAAAAAAAAAAAAATATGTTTATTAAAAGTTAAAAGTTCCAGAAACAATTCGGAGTGGTTCCTTTGTAGGAGTCGAAAATAATTGAAAAATAAATTATACCAATATTTCATACTGACTTTTTTATTATATTTTAACGTTCTTTTGTACATTTAATTTGGTGTTATATCTTTACAAATGTTTACTAGACATAACAAATTAAATATACTTTTTTGAAAAACGCAAAAGCTAACTTAGGTGCATAATAATTGTTGAATGTTATTTGTCAAATGAATTATCCTGTGTACCTTTTAATAATGATTATATTATATTTTTCAAACTTTTTTCTGCTTTTAGACATTGAAACATTCGAAACAATTGAACATATTAATGCCAATTGCATAATTTAGTATTCCAGATTCTCTGTAAGTGAAGTAATATTAGTATATTTAATAATTATTAGTATGATTACATAAACCGTATTACTTTTTTTTCGTATAAGATTATAAAATTACTAATTATCATAATTTAATCAAAACTAAATATCATACATTTTATTATAATTCCATTTGTTATATAATAAAACATAAGTCTTAAAACGTTCTATAATTTGTTTTCAAAAATACAATTTAAATAAAACTCATATGTTTATACTGTTTATAGTGATATGTTAAAATGTATAATAATTTGGATCATTTTATGTAAATACAATAATTATTATATTAAATAGTTTATTCATTTTAAAATGTTACTCAATTTTCATATACCATCTTCAATATTAATTAAATAGTTTTTGCAGCTATTGGAATATTTAATACTACAGCTGACTGATAGTTATCAGTGATAACTAATGTAACTAGTTTATTTTATCAAAATATTGTAACGATTGTTTTTTTGGTGAACGAGAAACCGATGAGAGAACCCTTAAACAATAGCTAATTGGTACTCGGTAGCTTAAACTACGTAATATAATGATAAGGGTCGACGAATGATTTAATTTCCTCATTACATAATAATAAATGTATAAATGATAAATTCATATTACACATACCTAAATATATATATATTATAAATGTTAGCATCCTGTTATTAAGCTATATATGAATACAATTCTTACACAGTTGCACTCATATAAACGTACAATTACGTGTATTAGCTATAATATTACATCATATATTTTGTCTACAAACAATACATGATCTGTAAAACTTTATTTTTGAAATAAAACGAAGAAAATATTCATGTAAATGTATTATGGACGTCACGTAGAATTAGCATTTAATTTTATAAGATGTCGAATACCATATAAAGTGACATTAAAAATATATCATACCAATAGGATGGACATACTAAAATATATTCTCAACGAGTCTGAGATAAGTGATCTTAACAATGATACGCATCACAATAAGGATGTGTTGACCGAGTTAAAAAAAAAAAAATTGGTTATAACATATTATACAGACAAACCGTACTATAGTAGGTGCATCATTTTTATACAATGAAAATATTATTATTCATTATTTACATGAAATAAAAATTGTTATATTTTTCTGTTGCTTATAATTTGTGTTGAATATAATATCTAAGCCTACAATATTCAGGTATTCTCGAATATTTTTAAGTAGATTTATTGTATTATTTATCACAATCTCGTGTCTCGGTTTCATTATTAAATTACAAACCCACTCTTAAATTGTAAATAAACTATACGGTAATAAGACAATAATTTACTTCCTCGCATTCTAGTGGTTTTTATCAACGAACAAATTTAATTTAAATAAGATAAAAACGAAACGGTATTGTGTCTACTGTCTACACACAACCAGAATTCTCAATGTCTTGTTTAGTATTTAAACTTGCAGTTTAAATGCTCATATTATGCAGTAATTTATAATATGAACTATAAGAATCTACATTGAATTGTATAAAGATTAATGATTCTGATTTGATTTGATTTTTAACTGAACGTAATTTTATTTATTGGTAAAATAAATTCAATAATTACTTAATAGCTTATATTATTCATACTTTGTATTCTTCTATGTGTAATAGTTAATTACCTATTACTAATAAATAAAAAATCTTAACTACATACCACTTCATACTATTTATACTTTTAAGTTACTTTTGAAAAGTTAATTTTTATACTATGGATTATCACGTTAAAATCTCATTATATAACTAACAAAACAAGGCAAATCAATAAACAAAATGAAAAATTATAAATATTTTTTATTTATTATACCTACGCACAATTTAGACCCTGCTGAAATTTTATATTTTCAAACATAGGATGATCATAGTGGGGAGTAAGCTAATAGAAAAATAGGTTGAATGTATGAAGGTCATTCAACTGAACACGTAGTTCTGCAATAATCGCGTATGATATGAGACGTCTGAAAGTAGTGTTCATATAGCAGCAGTCGGTGTGCACAGGAAGAATTGACGTGGTGTTACATCGAGAACTCTGGAACTATTAATTTTGTTATAAGTATATACCTACATCAATTATTTTGTTAGATTAATTTTTTCTATTAACCGAAACGATTTATTTTCACCTTAAATAATCAAATTTAATAATTAGCTATAGTTATAAATTCACACCCATTGACTTATTTTATAATACAGTTTTATTCGATTTAAGTTGTTTAAAATATCCATTATACAATCAAATATAGAAGTGCGAGTGGTATACTATCAAGCAGATAGGGAATTATTATTCTGATGAATAGTAAATACAAAATAAATAATATAGAATGGTGTTTTAATCGTGTATTCAATTTTGCTCAAAAAAGTAAATAATCATTTTGATGATGACCTGACCAAGTCCAATGTAGCACATTTTATTCGTGAATCGGACGTACGTAATTAAAGTGGTGCTAAGTATTCATTCGTGTAAAATAATCGCATAAATATGTGTAGCAGTTTCTTATCAAGTTTTTGTATCATATTCAATTTCCATACAATTATTTAAGGTAAGATTTAATTAAATTTTTATAGTTTACACCATATCAGATTTTAAGGCATTTAATATAAATTAACTATTTAATTAATTTTTATACAACTCGTTTTATCAATAAATTAACGAAATTAAAAAATTATAAATTAAAAATAAAGTATAAATGAATTAAATTTAAGACCCACATTATACAGTTATTAATTATTCATAGATGGATTTGAAAATTGTATTCATTTAATGGTTTTATGTTAAAAATAATTCTTTGTTTTCGACAAACTTTGATTTGATTGTGCACATTTGTTTTCCATCATTGTGATGGTTACCTAGTTAATAGTAATCTTATAGTTTTAAATATCTAATAAAATCATTGTATATTTATATTACTTTAATCTACGTAGCATAAGAGTTTGTGATTAATAAATTAATTATGTGACGTGGTTACAAAATGTAAATAAAACATAAGCCTACAACGTAAAACATTTTACAAGATTCATTAATCATAAGTGGTAAAATCCGGAGAGGATGCTTTATTGAAAAATATCAATTTACATATTTCACGTATACTTTCACCTACCTTTTCATTGAGTATCCTATCTATATCATTATAATAAACGTGTTTCAATTTAAATCTAATAATTTATTGTTGCATTTACGATAAACGTTTCTGAGCAGAAATAGTCTCTATATTCCTAGTGATATTTTATTTTTATTTTTATTAATTTATATAAGTATATAACTAAATATATTTTATTTTCTATTAGTAATAGGTTATTTTTAACTAACTTTCACCAAAAAAATGTCATATAATTAATATTACATTATACATTATTGTTTTTAACAATTAAAATCTATAAGTCAATACTGAAGATAAATAGAACGGTGTGAAAAGGTTCATAATAACAAAAGCTTAACATTTAAAAATATCTCTGAGTATAAAGTATAATAATCATAATAATATATGTATTGACCAAAAGTTTTAAGTTCTAGTGACTAGTACTAGCATTTCCCTTGTTTCGTATTTTTTTCTCCAATGATTTTAAAAATTGCCAAGAATTGTTTACATTTAACTCCTCGAAATACAAACTTGGTTCATTTTACTATCAAAAACCATACTAAAAATATTGAATATATTGAATTAAAGATTCAACAATATAAAGTATATTTTTACACAAAAAAATAGCATATCGTTTTTAAACCATACATACATCCTTCTAAAACTAATCTTAAACAATATATTATAAATAAATGAAATGCTTATTTTATAATGTATTTGCATAAAAAAAAAAACAACATTACAATTTTCATTTATATCAATACTTAGTTAAACATTCCATCAATATAAATTTAAATAATAACATTTATTTTAGTTTCCAACCATGAAAATAAATTATTTTTTTTTTATTGATCAACTGAATCTGTTACACGTTTCCAATAAAGTTGTTCTATATGCAACAATATTTTTGGCAACTATTACAGTGCTATAATATACACCACGAGTCATGTATGTCATAATTCATGACATACAATATGGAACAAAGAGTTCGAATTTTAAATACTACATTGACAATACAATGATAGTATATATTATAATATAATGGACTGTCGGTGTAATTAAACAAAGAGGAGAACCCGTTATTATGTACCGGTACATTAAAAAAATAATAACAGCGATTTTTATGCATCTGTGTTTATACTATAGAATAAATCAATTCATCAAGCGCATTATTTCGATTTGATCAGTTATCCTTTTTTTATTATTATTATTATTATTTATAAAAAACATTAAGACATTTACAATCTGTGTATACACAAAATAATATAATACCTAGTTAAGTATGTCAACAATTTGTACTTGACCTGAAAACATGGGGGAAGAGAGCATTTTTATCGATACTACTTCCAAATTATGATCTTAGAGGGAGTAAATTGATATAGTTTATATAATATTATTTACATTTAAGATGTAGAGGAGTGTTGTCAGGTAATATGCGAGAGAAAAGTTTGGATATGAGAAGGTTTGTTTTGTTGAAGTAGTTATTATAAATATATCAATATGATAGGAAGCAAATGTAGATATTGTTAGTATGTTGGTCACAGTGGAGTAAACGTTTGATGGCATACTAAAAATCATTAGATAGAACACAAACAGTTATTAAATAAAATACTTGAAATTTAATTGGAAAGGTATGAACTCTTAAAGTTTCTTGGAGTTGGATGCCGTACGTAATTGTGGGAAATATTTTTGTTTATAAATTAATTTTTGTTTAAAAAAAAAAAAATGAATTGGAGTGTAGTGGTATTAGTTTGTGTAGTCTATGTTTAAGTAATGTTCTTTTTGATTTAATTTGATTGACCTAGGTTACTTTTGTTTCGAGAAGATGACCTAGGTACTTAACAGAATTATCTATGATTATTTAGTTATTTATGTAAACAGAAAGAATATTTTTCAGGCTGAGGGTAAAGGTAATTTGTGTGGATTTGTTTTCATTGATTTTAATTTTTTATTAAATGAACAATTCTTTTAGTTGAGTTAGGTGGTCTAGGTCTAGAAAGTTATTTATGATGGAGATTATATTAGAGTTTGATTAAGTTATAACTATATCATTGATGAAAGTAGCTAGGATAGTGCTATGGTAGGTCTGCGGTATATATATATATTGCAGAACGTCGAGTATCATTCGATACTGCCTTGAAAACACCTGCTTTATAAGATGTAAATTATAAATTCCTAGCAATGTCTAGAATAACACCAAAACAATTTTTTTTTGTTCTAGGGATGAGACAGTATTGTTGAATAGTCTGTGTAGTTAGTGAAGAGAAGAAGTTTTTCATATAATATTGGGTATATTATTTTTTAAATGACTTTTTTACAAATTTTTAGCGAAATTTGGTAATAACCTGCTAGATTTTTGGAATAGTTTAAATATCGTTTTAAGTGATAAATACCTATTGATATTTTATCAAAGAAGAAACAGTTGATGATAGTATAATTTATATAACTGGGAAGAGTAATGATAAAAAAATTTAAAACATCGAGATAACCAATATTTAATGTTAAGAGGAGAGATTATTTTTAAATTGTGACTTAGTGTAATATTTTTAAGAATTCGACCTCTGATATTAGGAAGACTAAAGCTCCACTGGAGATGTTTAGCGTTGAAGTCACCACCTATCAAGACTAAATTTATAAAGTAATAAAATTAGCGAGTAAAATCATCAAAATTTAGTTTACTGGTAGGACGAAAATAAATCAAGGAAATTGTGATAGGAATATGATTTAGAGTTAGATCAATATTTGCGAACTCTATACCTACAGTTATTTTAGTATGGTAAAAGCATAGTACGTTTAATATTATAAAACTCGCGTTGGTTGAACCATCAGAATAGTCACTGTAATATATTGAATAGCTAGATATGTTAAAAAAGAAGTTTGGTGTTAGGTGTGTTTCACTTATCTGGGGGGGGGGGGGGGGGAATTCAGCCGTTGTTGGAATCTGAGTTAGATGAACAATTAGGTGAACGATTTGACCCGCTCTGTATAAGCGCTTCATTAGTTTTATTTAATTATTAGAGAAGGTACGACATATTTAGATTTTTGAAAGGTCATGGTGAAGTACTGATATTGCGTTAATCAATATAATCACAAAGTAGATAAGACGATAAAGCAGAAACAACTGTGCACGACCAACGTGTAGTTGACGGTTTATTCTAAGTAATTATTTTTAAGTTATCAAAGATGAAGACAAGAACAGCATTAGCTAAGTAATTTCGTGCTGAAATTACAACGTGCAAGTAACGAAATAACGAATTAAAAGATAAAATAAGTTGTTTTGCCAATCAAATCAAAAACAAAAACCTTAATATAATCTAATTCGTTTAAAATAATTTCTTCAAAAACAGGTAGTAATAAACGTTAATTGTATCCATTTAACAATAAATTTTATTTATTTCAAATATCATAGTGGATTTTTTTTTTTTTTTATTGAAATTAAAATTTTACTCACAATTATTTGTATACTTGTGCATATAGCTACTCAAATAACAAGTAATAAAATAACTAAATTTGAAGTAAATACAATATAAACATATTACAGTTATAAAGATGTTTATAATGTTGTTAAAATACTAGTAGTAAATAAATTGTATATTAAATATTTCTGATAACTGTACTCAATGTAAATTTTATTCACGACTAGTATTCTATTAGTAGGTGACTTTCTTTAAAATAGATTTTATAACTGTTATACACTTTAAATTTACGTACATACAATTTACACATTGTATGACTTGTCATTCGTGTAATTGTGTGTAAAAATTAAAAATAAAACTTTGATTTCAATAATAATAAAAACTCTTTTTACACATTTTATTAAAAAAAAAAAAAAAACAGCGTTTAAAATCCATATTGATATTTAAATAAATAAAACATATTATCAAATAGATTTAAGTAACATTTATTATTATATGTTTTCGAAGAGATAATTTAAAAAGAATTATCTATTATTTTTGAACTAACAGACAAAAAATGTATTTTTTCTTTTAATTTGTTATTTTCATGTTGTAATTTATCGTTATTCTCGTCAATGATCTTACACTCGATTTTTACAGATGATGTACGGTACTGAATATTTGACAACATTTCTTGTACCATTGATTGATGATCAGACTAAAAACATGATAAATATTGTATTAGTTTGGTGTATCTACTATAGCTATTTCTATTTCAATGTGTGGAAAAATATGAAAATATAATGTACGATTATTTTATTTATTTTTTTTATTTTTTTTTATTGATCTTATTTAAGCCCTGCAACTAAAGCCATTAGCTATGCATTAGGAACAGTAGGTATTTTATGTAAGGTTTGTTAGTAAAATTTGGTTAGTAGAGTTGGTACACGTAGGTTTATGTGTGTGTGCCATTGATTCGTCACTAAGAACTCGAGTGGTCACCCATCCAAGAGCTAGCGACGCTAACTGATGCTTGACCTCAGAACACATTAGTAACCGAAGCCAACCATCACGCCACACCAGACCTGTGTAGTTATTATAATATGACCAACCATGTCATAATAATAATACTTCACAATTATTTATTTCATATTAATATAAGAAGTTCACATGTGATAAATTATAATATACATTCATACTTAAATTCAACTATAATGAATAACATAATAAAGCGTGGGGTAGTCTACGGGAAACATTTAAACCATACTATACGAATCATGTTAGTTGTCATAAAAATCTAATATTGTATTCTATATTATGTATAGTGTACACATAGACAAAAATAATGCATATGAATTATAAAAATAATTTTAAGATAAAATTATTATTTTTTTTTTTTTTATCTGAATAATAAATTAATATTAATGATTATATTATGGTTTATAATTATTGTATAAATTAAATATGTTTTTATGTGTTTGCCTATTTTTATACTCAATAGGATTCGATTAAAATTGCAATTTACTTCACCCCCACTCCTCTCGCTGCGTAGTATAATAAAAAATAAAACTTGTTTTCATTTAATCTAAAAAATATTTTAATCAAACGTTTTAAAAAATACTTCAAAAATATTCTTAAAGCAAAATTTAATGAAGAATACATAAAGGAATTGAAAAACGTTTTAAAATATTATTATCCCACCAACAAATTCAAGTTAAGTATCAGTCATAGTTGTTATTATTGAGACCATTTCAATTATTTTTCTTAATAATAGTTAGATAGTATCATTGGTTATAAATACTAGTATTTAGAATTGTTAATGATAGTACCTCGATAGTACTTATACTAATACCTCTGCGTATCAAATTTCTGGATAATGGCGAGTTAAAATATTTTTATATTGATAAATTGTATTTTAATAACCATTCAATATTGTTGCAATAAGCTCCTTGACTATAAATTATTAATAATTCTAATAAATTGATAAAAATGTATGAACTTACTAATGATATTTTGCATGATCAAAGAGAATCAATATAAGAATACGAGATAGATTAACAGAATTAAAATATTGGTTAATTTCTTACCGAATAATCGTAGTCAAAACTTTTCTTGAAGTGCAAAAAAAACGAGAGACTTCAGACTATAATCATAGTATTAAAAGAATATAGCTAAGTAATTATTTTATGGTTCATAAGAAATAGACATTTTTTAACATGTTTTATTTTTATAATATATTAAAAAAGAGTTCTGAAAAATAAACATAAAACCAATTCTTTCTTCAGTTTATTATACATTATTATATAAAAACAAGTTTTCATGCAGTTCTATAAATAACACTATTTATTGCTTTCTTATAGTACAAATGAATAAATCTTTTTTTTTGAATATGCAGTGCCTTATATTAAATACATTTTTTTTCTATACAAGATGATTCTTTTATCATAAACCACTCATCTCAAAAATTATTAACATTTTTTAAAATATTTTATATAATTTATAGTCAAAATAAAATTTTAATGATGTAAGATATTGAAAAATATAACTGCTCTTAAAAATATTGTATTTTATTTACTTTAAATAATATAAAAGAAATATTTTCAAAAATGTTAATAGTTTTCGTAATAATGAATGGTTCGTAGTACTTTGTATAATATATAAATATGTGTAGATAAATTTGCATTACCACTTCTTTATTTTCACATACATTGGATATTGGAATTTTATTAGCTTTTTCTTCGGATTTTTCTAATTCTTGACATAGTTGAATACATCTCATTGTATCTTCACCTCTCTTCAATATAATGTTTATATTCTGAATTTAAATTTAAAATAAATTCATTATATTAAATTTATATATAAGCACTCATATATATATTTTTAATAATTCATATCCAGAAATATAAATTATTACAATAAATAATAATACAATATACAAACAATTATTATTATTATCATAAAAAAACGTAATATTTATTGACTAAAAATTATATTGTTATTTTCATACTACGTTTAATAGAAAATTTTTTTTTTAAGTATGAGGTAATATAAATTAAAAAAAAAAAAACTATAATAAAATTAATCTTTACGTCTTTTATTTGTTTGGTAGATTGGCAAAGAAGTGACTTTTGTTTATGACCAAGTTTAGAATTATTTGCAACCTTATTCCTGAATTGTTTCAAACCCTCTTGAAGTACATCTCTTTTATGTTTTAATATATTTAATTCCTTCAATAATTTAGGATTGCTTATATCTTTTTCCAAGATACTTATTTTATTCTAATCAATTATTTTATTATTAATATTTTTGTGAATATTTGTAAATTACTTTGTAAAAACCAATCTAACTAGTCTAAACTCACTAATAAATTTTTGATCCGAATTTTTAATGTTTTTGTTGTAACTAATAATTGCTCATTCGCATTTTTCAATTTCAGGTATTCTTTTGCTGTATTTCTAGTTTTTTTTGAATAATCGTCCAAAACAAAAGAATATACATCTTTCATATTCTTGTAATGCATTATGTAGTCTTTCCAACAAAACTTGTTCATAATTGATTCAAACTGCATTATAAGATAATTGAATTATACGCATATAGATCGTGATAGTTGCGACAATTTACTCGTAAAATGTATTTTATTATTTTATATTTAAAACATATAATTTGAGTTTTTATTTCAATCGGTACATTCTTATTGCTGATTATTGGATATCATTTTTAATACATTCGCGGAAAACGTTTTATTAAGAGTTTGTCTATAATAAACTACTACAAAATAAAATTATGAAACCATTGAGAGTTTATGTTTTTATTATTAGGAAACAATAATTTTAATATCAAAAAAATATTAATAGATTAATTATAGTGTATAAAAAAAATATTTATATTATTGTCATCATATAAAGGTAATAAATATTGAGAAAAACTGTGTAAAAAATTAACGTGATTACTTATACAACAGTTTAATATTCATTATTGATTGCCATTATTTCATCTTTATGGCAATCATTTTCAGTAAAATATACCAACAACAACTCCATCCTTGGTTTAAAACTAACTTCAAAATAATTTAAAAACTGAAATCCTATCATTTATTATGTCGATAAATTTTAATAATTGAAAAATCTGTTATCAAAATCGTACATTATTATTAAAGCTACTCCAATTTACGTTAATATTTATCGTGTTGATAAATTTTACAAATTCACAATGTTTTTTACCTAACTACTTGAATAATTATCAAAATAATATTTTTCATTATTGCATCACTATAATGTAATAAATAACATTTTTAAGCTTTTAAAATTAATTAGATTAGGTAATAATTATTGTGCAAATGTTTACTTTGACTTTTATATATTTCAAATTTTAGTCATATACTTTTCTTTTGTACCTACCCGTCCACGTTCGATGTCCATATTTTCAATGTGTTTGTTTTCAATGTTAGATTTCCATTTTTCTATTTCAAGTTGTACCACTTTATTATCATATTTTAGCATCTTCCAATAAGTATCATTCTCAATTGTTCTGATGTCTAATTCTGCTAAATCTATTGGTAGTGCTAATTCTACTTCACCCTGATATTGGCGATGTATATTTTCAATTTCATTTTTAAATGTTCCTGTCATGAAACAAGTTTATCATTATGATGTTATGTGTATGTATTTACATAGTAATTATTTATTAACGCACCACATAAAGAGACCACCGAATTAAACAATAAAAACTATATCTATTTTCTTTGTTGTGTAATAACTGGCAACCATAAATATACAAAAAATAAATAATTTTCGTGTTATAAAAAAAAAATGCATGTGTGTGTGTCACCCCATAGTGGTTGAAGTAGCTTTGAGTAACCTAAATGTTTACAAAGTCCTCTACTTGCCAATGAAAATCCCGTAAAATCGGTGCAGCCTATTCGAAATTTGTTCGGACACACAGATAGACACTTTATTCACAATTTTATATTATCATAAAAATACAGATTGGATTACCTAATGTATTACTAACCAATTCCAAATTTCTATGACCAGTTCTACAACGATATTCTATGCATTCGTCTAACTCGTTTTGTAATTTCTCTATTATCTTATCTTTAGATTCCATTTGTATAGATAAAGATCTTTGGTAGGCCTAAAATATGTAAAATTTGCATTAATATGAAAATGTTTATCGTGTTGTTTCAATACCAGTTATTATAAAATATCACCTACGAATTACGATTGTATAATTATAGAGAGTGTTCAATAACGATAGCGTAGATAATAATGTAATAAAAGTTGTTTTTAATGTTACTTCGGTGAAAAAAAAACACATATATAGATTTGTTTTCTTTACTTAAGTTATTACTTAAATATAAATTACTCATATTATCAAGAATGTATAGCATAACTAACCAAAATTGTATTATGCAACGCTGTATCACTATACTCGGACAATTTATTTTCCCAATGTTTGATAAGCATTTTCGTACTATCAATGGTATTATCCACATTTTTTTTCAACATGTCCTGTTTATAATACAAACATAAATATAAATTAATTAACACTATATTTTATAACCAGTAGATTATAAATTGTTATCACTATATAAATCTTCGTTTTATGATGTAATATTCCCAACATCTTCTCATCTCTATCCATAACCGATCAATAAAATTACTCCTCTGCTAATTTATACGAATCCAAATGGATAAAATCTATTGTTGATAATAATAAAAATAATAATAATGTAATATATAAACCTAATTATTATTAGTTATTAGTTACTTTACAACGTAACAAAGTCTATTTGTAATAAATGGTTATCGTAAGCACATTATAGCAGAATATTCTTTACAAACAAAATATGTGAACTCATTTTACGTAAGTATGTGACCTTTTAAAAATAATTATGACACACTGTTTACAATAAAACATTAAACAAGTAATGCTAGGATGGCTTCTATAGATATGTATAGTATAATAAAAACGAAAAATAATTGCAATACCCACCGTTTTTCCTGAATAGTATTTTGTCCAAAAGTCAGAAAACCCGAAACCTGTTTTATCGAACACATTTTTCCCAACGGTTATTGTTCCCGAAATAAAAAAATTCAAAAATTTAAACATTTTGTTATTACTGGCGTATTTTCTATATATTATATTATATACCTATAACTAAAATACTACTATTAAATATAGATAAAGATAGTTTTTACAAAAAAGTATGGGTATTTTGCCTTTATTGCAATTTACAGTCGTTACAACGACAGATGTATACCATATTACTATCTTTGCCACATAAACATTTAATTGATTTGTATTTTACACCTATATCATCGCGCGCTTGTGATATAATAAAATTATTGTTATGATTATTATCGCTTGTATACATGTAAATCGTTGTAATTGTTATAATCGTAAAGTTTCGTTATTTGCGTACTATCAGTTGTCGCTATACTTTCATTTTCATTTTAAGTGCGTTTTATTGTATAAGCTTATTTTAATTTTATTTTACTCCGTCATATTATATGTATTATAATTTTTCAGGTAAAATACCATTCGGAAAAAAGTTCATTCGAAAATTTTGAAACGGGAAAAAATATTTGGATTTTCGGACTTTCGGGAAAAATACCATTCAGGAAAAAATTCATTCGAAAATTTCGATTCAGGCAAAATACCGGTAACCAATAATTGCATTTGATCCTATATTTTTTTGTTTATTTTTTTTATTAAATTTAATATTAATCAATAATGAATTACATCATATTACTACAAAAAATTAAATTGTCTCATAATAATGATTAATCCGTGTTATTTATTTAATAATAATATTTAAGGTACATTTTTGAATTTAAAGAGTTTCATTATATCACATATTAGTATTAATCGTTGGTTATTGGTATTTCAACAAATTCAATGAATAATATAATGTGTAAGATTATTTCGGTTCTTTCTTAATAAAATAACTGTACCTACTGGCTAAAATTATTGACTATTAAAACATAGATATTATACAATCTAATATGTTTTAAAATTATTTATTTCTATATTATCAATCGTGACTGTGCGTCGTGTATGTTTCATGCAGATTATGAAAAGTATTTTATTTGTTCACTTCGAATCTACTATATGTTTTGAAAATTTGTGTTCATAAAAAAACATGAGTAACCTACTATTAGTTATATAACTGTTATAAAAAATTTAATTTTTAATATTTCTCAAGTTAACTTACATAAAACATTGTAAATAATAATATTGCTTTTTAATAAATAAATAAATTATTAAAAGCCATATAAAATATATTAATCACTAAATTATTTGATATTATACAAATTTTGCCATATAATATTATTCATATTAAATTTTTAGAAAGCTTAATCTTATTATTGAAAACCTGAGAAAATATATAATATTATTATATTATGGTATTAGGATATAAATCAAAGTATAGTTTAGGTAATTTAAGGTAACAAATCAATTATATTTGAAAAATCTACTTTTATAATATTAGGATAGAATAAAATTGAACAATTGAAAAATACTTAAAAAAATCATAAGTAAATTTTAATATAAACAAACATTTTATTTATAATAACTCAATATCATTAATTATAATCTCTAAACGTAAACATTATAGTATTATATAACCAAATTCATAAATAACTAACAGTATTCAAAATGTGAAATTATTTGATTATAATATTAATTACAAGATAAAAATTATTTCATAGAATTAATGTATATATTTGTATAATGCAATCTATAAAATTATTAGTCAGATTGCAGACTAATTAGACCACCTCACTCACTACCAGTATATTATTATAATAATTTTAAACTATTCAATATAGTATTGAGTTGATATCAGTCGTAGTTAGTATTAAATAATTTAATTAAAATATTAATCTACTAGTTTTTAAAGTGTATTTCTATAAGTTTTTTTCTGATTTAAAATTATATAATACTTAAAAAATCAACAAAAATCAAATTATTTTTATATAAAAAGAACATACAATCTGTTAAAGTAAATGTAATTTAATGTAACATGGTATTTTCAAAAAAAAAAAAAAATAACAGGTAAATTAATTTTGAATTTTTAAACATAAAATGTATTTTGTAAGAAAGTTTAAAATTATCGTTCCCAGGTAAATAGTTTTATAATGCATAAAAATCATAAAAAGTAAATTTTTTCTATATATTATTAGTTAATAAATAATGAAATTATTATTTTTTTTAATTCTATACATTTAAATGAGTATATACTGCTGATAATCTATTTATGCTGTATGTATTATTGTTATGTAATAATGTCTTTAATTAAATTGAGTTTAAATTAATCGTACAAATAATTACAAAATCCATCACACACAAAGTTTTAATGTAACAATAAATATAATATACAATATGTTCTAAATAATTTATACTTCACAAAAATACGACGAATTTTCTGCAACGCTTGACTTATCAAAATGTAATATCTTACCAAGAAATATTACATTATATAATGTTATTCATGCATAGAGCGATCGTGCACAATGATTTTTTAAAGTGTAAAAATTGTTATTGAAGCGTATACATCTAAAAAAGATTCCCAATTTAATTTTAACTATTGTATAAATTGAAAACTAAACATAAATTTTGTTTTCCACCTACTAAAAGACTACAAAATTAATAATAAACAGCTATTTTAAATAAAATCTAATTACATTTCATAAATCATCAAAAATAAATAATTTTATATAGATTCTGATTTTTTTTTTAATTATTTTAATTATTTCATTTATTTAATTTTAGTTTTTTTTTTACTTACTATTTACTAGGATTATATATATTTTATTTTTTGATAGTATAATTATATTTTATTTGATAATCAACTATAAAACGACTAATTAATTTTATTTTCTTAAAACTAATAAATTAACAGATTCAACGATTTATTGTTATTTATCATTATTTGTTTAGAACATTTTTATTAATATCGGTAAAAAATATAAATTATATATTTTTTGTTTACAACTATTATTATCACCTTTTTATAATTTTACTTCAACAATACTTTCTCTAACTATATCATAACAATTCTATAACTACATTACCAATGTTTTGATTTACAAAATATTCATATTAACACATGATTCATATTACTTGTACTACCTACTTGATAAGTGATCAATGCTTAGTTTAATACACATGAAATACATCAATGTTATTTGTTACTTATAAAAGGGAATATATTTAATTTAATTACAAAACCTGTCATTTTATAATTGTCGTTAAATTGAGATTTCTCATAAGTAGTATATTTAACAATTTGTTTAACGGTAATGGTACTACCGATTGTGAATAAAATCTTGTATTAAAAACAGTATTAATATAGTTTTTTTAAATTTGGGAAATTTAAGATTTTAGTAATTATTAAATGTATATTTCTATATTTTATAAATAAAAAATAAAAATTATAATTTTTAATTTCATAAAAACGATTTAAGTCTTTATTTCATTAATCACTCTTAATATATTTTTTATTATTAAAATCAGATCAAAGAAAAAGCATAATGGCTCGATTTTATAAAAAATTATTTTACTTTTATTTTATGGGATTTTCATAAAATATTTTTTGGAGTAGTAAAAATACTCGTATACTAGGTACTATTTAAAATTGTTTATTGTGCATGAAATAGTATTTATTTATAACTGCTTTAAAAACAGATATATTAGTTTTAGTAACCGTTAATACTCCTAATTTCGGGATTTTATGATTACTTAAATGTCTTAAATTTTAAATAATTTTTTTTTTCAAACTAAGATAGTTTTAGCATTGACAAATTAATAATTAACACTACTATTGTTTATAGTGTAAAAAATAAGAAAATTAAGTTATATAAAAAATTGAGTTAGATAAATCAAGTTCTGAACGAAACGATGAACGTATATATTTTTTTTCTGTGAACACGTTTTATAGTAGAAAAATCCTTTTATCTTCAACTTCATGTGTTACTCGTATTTCTGATAAAAAAATTTTTTTGGCAAAAATTACAAATTTCCAGTATTTTTTAAAACAACCAGGAGAAATACAATTAAAGAAAAACGGAATACTGTGTCTTTGTTGGTAATTGTTTTAAATAAATATAGACTATTAAAATACTACTATGTATAACTATACAGTTTATCCTACGATTCTCTCAAAACCCAAATATTCTTACAATGTACCTATGTATTAACTATAATTATTTGAACCATGTAATACAATAACAACATTAATTTTTACGAGCGTCGTAGATAACCAATGTTAAAATATTTAAAAAAATAAAAAAACAACTTTTTTACTTGTTATTTAATAGTAGTAATTTTTATTGATTCATACATTGATTCTACATAGTAATTTTTAGTAGGTATACATTTATAATATTAAACTAATAATAACAATTATTACGTTTTAATTATTTAAGACAGTACTATTAATATATACAACAACTTTTATTAAATATTGTTTTCTTATTTTTTTATGCATCACAAATGAGGATTTGTATAGGTAACTCCTTTGTAATTTATTCAATTTTTCACAAATAGTGGAAATACATTTTATTCCTCCCTTCTATACGTTGCATAGTAATATACAAGAATGTTAAATAAGTACGTGATAAAATTGAAAAAAATACACACACATATAATGTTATAGGTACATATTATTTTAATATAATGTTTTCATGAAATGTATATAATATTATTATAATATGCGCATACCATTTGAAACCTATAAGACTAATAAATGTTTAACTCCACTACATTATAAGTTTCAATACGCGGGTTAAGTAATATTATCAATCTGCTTCTTTGTATATTTAACAATGTTTATGCAATTTTACTGTTATTATTATTTATATTGTTATTTTTTTCAAATGTGTGATTATTGTTCAATTATTTGTAACTACAACACCTATAGGTATTATATATTATTATAATTTTAAAAATTATTAGTATTGAGTAATACCTTCCTTTTTATCAGATAATTAAATGTTTATATACCATTATTACCTATTGTTTGAGAGTTATAGCAACAACTTTTACGTAATAAATTATTTTTAGAATTACAAGAATACATAATAACCTTGAACATTTAGCTGATATTCACTTTTATTATAAGTGCATGTATAATTATTTGTTTAACTTCTAGTTAGTAAATACTTAAAATACAGATTAGGTTTTATTTAAGTCTGTTATAACAGCAGTGATTTTTTTTTTTTAATTTTTCAATAACTCAACTCATTTGATAAATATACTTGAACGATGCGATTTATTCAATAAAAATTTCAAGTCATAGTTTTACGTAATATCTTTAATAGCTAAATAAGAAATAAAAATTACTCATCTTACAAACTTCAATTAAATCATTATTATTATTCAAAAATTTAAATAGTTATATGAATAACTTTCAACAACGGTTTTTAAATTACCTCTCTTATATTTATAAAAAACTAAAAATAAAAATAATAAACATTAAAAAAAAAGTTTTTCTCTGAATCTATCTTAATTAGAAGGTACTGTTGCCTAATGGTTTCTTCCCTCAATTAATTCAAGACATGCCAATTTCATATTATACTTTCATACCATTTATTAATTATGCCATATTTTATATGAATTTAAATTAAATTTTCTTAATAAAAAAAAAAAAAAAAAAATTATCTACTTTTAATTAAAAATACTGAATTAGATTATTAATAATAATATTAAATTATAAATATTTAAGTGAAACTTTTGATTTACCTACTTGATAATTCATCATTTTATATAATTTTTAAACTTGGTTTATTTTTTTTTTTTTTTTTTACTACTGAAAATGTCTACTGTTGAGTATTATATGAATAATGCTCATAATAGTTATTTAAAGTAGTTTTATGGTAGAATAATACAATATTTGTATAATACTATAATACGTTTTATGTTATAGGTATTAAATAATTTCCATTCCAAAATGACCTAAATTAAAACGAAATAGCAATGAAACCCTTAAAAAAATCTACTAACGACGAGATCAACATGGCTGAAGAAGTGGACGCAGATCATGAAAAATGGGAAAAATTAAATTTCACCTCAAAGGCTAAATACGTGTTTAAGAACATAACTGTTGAGCCAATACTTGGATTTTTCATTGTGTCCAGTGTACTTGGCAACCTCACTACACAAAATCTAAACTTACAGAAATCATGTAGGGTTAATTTAAACATGAGCGACGCGATTTGCTCTGCGTTGGAAAAACGGATGAAGATGAATTATACTCTTGACCAGGAAGCAAAAGTCCAAGAACTAGTCACTGACATGACAATGTGGCAGTCAGTTATACAGCACACTATTCCATGTGTATTCGTGATTTTCATCGGATCCTGGAGTGACAGAACGCGTAAGAGAAAACCAGTCCTGTTATTGCCCATTTTCGGAGAACTTGTGCGGGTCCTGGGCTTATTAGTTTGCGTATTCTATTTTTATGAATTACCAATGGAAGTCGCGGGGCTGGTCGAGTCCGTGCCTTCATCATTAACAGGTGGTTGGATGATCATGTTCATGGGTGTGTTTACATACATTGCAGATGTAACTACTGTAAGTATTTTTTTAATATTTTTCAATACTTTACTGACTTGGTAATAAATATACGTATTATTATATCATCATTATTTCAGGTAAAAATGAGAACTCTTAGAATAGGTGTGCTGAATTTATCTTTAACCATAGGAATATCTTTCGGTATAGCCTTATCTGGTATTCTGTACCAAAAACTCGGGTTTTATGGCATATATTCAATATGTTCGACTATGTACTTCATGGGTATACTCTATGGATTTTTTTGCCTAAAAGATATAAAAAGTAATGAAACCCAGACCGTTTGTGAAGACAATAAACTTGTTAAAAACACATCATTCTTAACAAATGTAAAAGAATTTTTTGATTTAATACACATTAAAAATGCGTTTAAAGTCACTTTTAAAAAAGGTAATGACAACAGAAGGCTCCGGATTTTGATGATGATGTTAGTTCTCATGATAATAATGGGTCCTATGACAGGTTAGTAAAATATTTCAATATTCATATGTTCCGCTATTAGACATAAGCATTTTACCATTTCTAAAAACACTTAATGAACCTCAGTATAATATTAAAATAAGTAAAAACTAATGATTAATTTCAACTTTAGGTGAAATGTCAGTTATGTACTTATCGACCAGAATACGATTTAATTGGGATGAATTAGATTACAGTATGTTTTCTACATTTACCATGGTCATTGGTTTTATTGGTAAGTAATCAATTATTGTTAAAAAGAACGTTTAAAAAATAAATTTAATAACATATTTTCCAATATTTATTTTAGGGACATCAATTTCTTTATGGATTTTCAGTCACAAGTTGAAAATGGATGACACACTGATAGCTATAATGGCATGTATTAGTAAAGTGATTGGTAGTTTTGTTTTTGCATTTGCACCCAATAAATACATATTTTATTTGGGTAAGTAAATTATTTATATTCAAATTAACAGCTTTTGGAAATAATAATTTAATATTTTCAGGCGCAGTTGTGGAAATTATTCATGGCGCTGGTTCCATTGCAACCAGATCTATATTCACTAAACTCGTTACACCAGACGAACTTGGTAATTTTTAAAATATTATAACAATTGCAATGTGGTTGTTATATATTAACAATTTAATTTCTTAGGCCAAGTTAGTTCTGTAATAGGAGTTTTTGAGGCTTTTGTTCCAATGATATATGTACCGATGTACAGTGCATTTTATAAAGCTACAATGAAAACTTTTCCTGGAGCTTACTTCCTCCTTGGAGGAGGCTTAACTATACCAGCAATTTTTGTATTTTTGTAAGTATTAAAGGTATTAATTTATAAAATGTATTATTTTATTTTGTACACAATAAATTAAACTGAGATGACCAATCTATCTACTGCAGATAGTAATAAGTAACTTTTTTTTTACATTCAATTAATCGTAAGCAAAAATTAATGAATATGTGGTTATGATTTTAATATTATTGATAAAGCGTGTAAGCTACCTTAAAGTAACTAGTTCAATCTATAATTTAAATATTTCTTGAATCGTTAAAATTGATCAAGTATATTTTAATTCTATAAGCCTCGCCTATTACATTGTATTTTATGTGTAATATTATAATGTTACTCAAACCTTATATTATAATCGCTTTTGACCTACCAACAATCCTAAATAATAAGTCTGAAATTTTTAGTACCAATTTATTAAAAACTGTTGTTTTACATTTATGTCATTTTAATATAATCTGACTAGATTAGTACTTGTGTTATTCGACTATCAACCAATTGAGTTTTATTTCATTCAAATGAAATTGTTTTCAATTGTTTTTAGTCAAAATTACAATTGTCAATCAAACACTTTGAATAAAATCATTTATAAATATCATATAATAGTTATTAATCAATTTACATTTTTATAGAATATATTATATCTATTAACCTAAATGAAAAAATGTAATATAATACTAAAAATTATATCCAATCATTAATAACTATTTTATTATCTGTAATCATTGGTAACCCTATGTAAAAACAAAATAAAAATATTTGATTTTTGTGAGCTGAAATAAAATTTATGTTTGAGCAATCCTAGTGACCTGTAGAAGTTAAAATACAAAGCTAAAAACCCTTTCCAAGTTTAAAAGGTTCTATTGATATGACTTTTATTGAAAACGGCCGAGTGATTTTTTAGTATATTTTTAGTTTGTTGTGGACAAAATATATAAAAAGAAAGAAACATTTATTTTTATGTAATATATAGATGATTTAAAATAACTTATCAATAAATAACTAATCATTTTTTTTTTTTTTTTTAGGTGGATGTATAAAGGAAATAAAGAACGAGAAGCTCGTGAAATAGAAAATAACAAATCTGAAATAATACAAAAAAATTCTGAATTAACAAACGATACAATCAAAATTCCTAAATCATACGAGACGTCAGAAAAAAATGATTATGAAAACCCAGGATTTAAGTCCGATTAATGTACAAGCGATATTAAATAAATATATATTATAAGAATTGTTTTATTAAAATAAGACCATAATGTGTATATATTTTTTCTTGTTTTTAATTTATTTGTATAACTATTAGATTAATTTTCATTTTATACGATTAAGTTTTAATTTTAAGTAATAATTATTAATTATACGTTGATTAGTGTTTAATATTATAATTACTGAACTGTTAATTTATATAATAATTTTTAAGAGACAAGATAAAAATGTTTTCATATAATGTTGTAATAATTAAATTTATAATCTAAAACATCTTTACAATAATTCAAATAATTCCATGTCAAAAAAATAAGAATATTTATTAAACTACAAAATATATTTAATTTTTTTTTTTTTTTATTATTATTCATTTATCATCAATTTTTAATATAATCTATAATTTAAGTAAAATATTATCATATTTTAATTTTATAAGTACGTCCCATAATATTATTATAATTATGAGCTTTAAGAAATTTGGCCAACCAATCTATGACCTATATTGGCTATATCATTAATGATAATAAGCCTATATTAGCTCAAAACAAAAAATATTATTCAAATTTTAAAATCAATAAAACAATGATGAAAATTTTTTTGTTTGTTGAAGTTATTGACAAAATAAAAACAATATTAAATATTAAATTATATATTCAAAGTTATCTTTATTTTATAGAAGCAATTTAGATTTTTATATATGTTAACCCGATTAGATATATTACAATTGTCGCTTTCTTGATTATTTTCTACAAGAAACCGTTTTTATCTGTAAATTTATAAATAAACAACAACCAACGTTAAAGATACAATTTTTAGATCATTTTTAAACTACTTTTAATTAGCATTAAAATGTAATTTTTCCAAACATTATATACATTAATATTACCTATACCAAACCCCTCAAAAAGCTAATATCTAAACAAATCATGCTTAAATCCTCATAAATCATAATAATTAAGTTCCACTAAACCGTTTTCCAAACTCAATAACTTATAATCACTTTTAAAATTTAAGTATTATTATCGTGTGATGATGTGATATCTCTATTAACGAATATTAAAATATTTAAAAATTTCGTCCAACATTTTAGTTATTAGATTTTTCAACAAATATTATACTATACCCATTGATTAAACTAATTTTATAATATTTAATAATTATTACCATATTACTAAAAATAAAACAAATAATTGTTATGAATCTAGTTTAATTAAGCTAATATTAAAAAAGTTACAATTATTTTAAATTTTTTATCTCGTCAACTTTTAAATTCACCATGGTTATATCTGTAAGTATCTTAATGGTACATACCTGTCATTATATTTTAAATACAATAAATCGTCTTAAGTAAAAAAAAAATAAGAATATCATGGTTTTTTTATATTGAGTTGACTAAATGTTAAAACCAAACAATATGTTATGTGTATGTACTATAAATACTCGTACAAATACCTATTAAAAATTATAAGCAGAATATATTATTGTAATCACTGTTTTTATTATTTCACCCAATTATATTTAAATACACATTATCACAAGACTATTTTATAATTAAGTTATAATTAATAATTATTTTTAGAGGTGATAACAATATACAACATTGATTACATACGGCTTCTGTTATGTAAAACATATTTGACATCCCATAATAACACGAATCGGTTTTATCTACTCGAAATTTCATTCGATGAGAGTGATGGGAAAATAATCCAAACAAATCGATCCGAGTAATTTATTAATATCAATATGATTTCATTTGTTCGTGCAATACAGTAGGTTAAAGCAGCAGTAGTGAGTACCTATATACATTATACATCTACATTTATGTTCCATTTTCTAAGATATATTTTTGTGACTGATTATTACAACCCGGATAATTCACAGGTAATAAGTTATAATTTCTCTACTCAATTACTTATTTACCAGTAGTTATTTATCAACGTATATTTTATACACAAGTATATTAATAATTTTTGTTTAAAACATTTCCTGAGTAATTTGGAGGTATAGTTTTATAATAAAATTAATGTAACTTTGATCTCTTTTTTCCGTGAGACCGGTAAAAGACAATAATTTTGAATTTATAATCAATATTTTAATAGTACTTAACTAATTTAGTATTTAAGTAGTAATAAACCACATTAAATTATTATCTTATTAATATTATGTAGAGAAAAACCGTAATCATAAAATGATGTTTGATTTTATCTAACATTAAACTACATATATAACTAGATAATTATAAGAATTAAGAAAACAATATAAAAAATAGGTATATATTATTTTAAATAAAAAATAGTTTTTCATATAATACACATTGATTTATTAGAACAAAGTACTATTAATAAATTATTATGATAACTTACAGTAGATAATTATATTATTATGTAATATACTATAATAAATAATTCGGCTCATGTGCTCCAACAACATTTTTATAATTTTATGTGTTATCAACTAATTTGATATTTTAAGTTTTGTCGAATTATCGATCTTTAGTATATGAATAAAATTAGGTCTAGATAAAAAATATTCATAACAATTAATTAAATTTTCGTCAGTAACGACTGAATTTAATAAAAACAGTTGTTAACGATTTTCTATCAGTTAAATTAACATGAAACTTACTTGCTAAAAAATTTCAATATCTCATTATAAATAATTTATTCGTTGTATTATATATTTATTTAAATATGGAAATACATTGACTACAACAGCAATCTTTTTCATAAGAATAAATAATAGCATAACGAATTTGTATTACTTGAAACAAATCTCAGATAAATATTACAGTTGAACGTTGATAACTCATTAAGTAGGTTACAGTTAAAACAATTATAAATTATTTGCGTTTTACGTGAGAACAAAAAATTAATAACTCTGTTATTATCTTTAAAAGATAAATTTAAGATGCAATTGTATAACATTTTTACTTATTGGTATATTTTGATAGTTATGTAAAATATTGTGAATTATTATATTGCATATGAAGTGTATGTGTAATTTTTAATAACTAACAATGATAATGACATATAATCGTCAATTTATTATAAATTCAATAATAGTAATACTGGTGTATCTACATAAAAATATGCCACAATATTCTATATTTTATAATATAATTCAATCAAATCTTAAGATTCAGTTCGGATAATAATTAACAATAGTTCAAAATATCTTCGAAAAAAATATCAATAGGAGAAATAGCTCCAGTTAATTGAAACTGCTCAAAATATCTTAAAAATAAAATATCCTTAATCAAAAATATTTAACTAATTATATAAAAACACATTAAAATACATTTTTTTAATTTTCATGAATTAAATAAACGATTACATTGACCATAAATGGTACATTTGATCAAAACAATATTTTTATTGATGAGAATCTCAACTACTAATATAATCAACCTAAACGATAATTATTTTTAGCCAATTGAATATATCAACCTGTAATTTAAAACTATGAATATATTATACGAAACATAAGCAATGCCAGTATTTTATTTTTACAAGTAAGATATTTTTGATAGACAATATTATTTAAATATTATTGCAAAAGATCATTTTATCGTTCACTGTAATGATTCGAATTATAATATTAAAATTAGTAAAAAAATAATAAGTTCTTAATAAACTTTAATATTTATCCATAAATAATAAAATATTTATAATTAATATGCACTTCTAATTACTAATTCTTAAATAAGAAAATATGAATTACTAGATATGAATAAATTAATTGTATATTAAGTACCTTCTATTTTAAAACCATTAAAATCGTAATGTTTTTTTCTATTTTGACAACATTCTTCGAAATATAATATTTTATTAAACATTCCGTTTGTTCTTAGAGTGTAACATGATTATTAATTATAATATTAGTTTGTCGTAAAAAAACATAAATTAATGTTTGTAATTTGTATACATATAATCAAAATAACAGTGTACAGAATATAATTTGAAATATATTTTTTAGAGTTTCTAGAGCTGTGGTAATTACAGTACAATAGAAATGAAGGAACAAGACAGTAGTTCCACTTCAAATGATGAAGACAATAACAGTTGGCAAGACATGGGGTTCTGTTCCAGAGTGAAATATGTCTTCAAAAACATCACCGTGGAACCATTGTTGGCGTTTTATCAGGTTTCGTCCGTGTTATCGAGTTTGACCACCCAAAACCTCAACCTGCAAAAGGCCTGCAGGGTAAACTTACAAATGAAGGACGATGTCTGCGACGGACTGGAGAACAGGAACATGTCGTTTTATGTTGATGAAGAAGTTCAAGTCCAGCAACAGGTTGCAGATATGCTCATATGGCAAACAATAATCCAAAGTAGCATACCGTGTATACTTGTCATATTTGTCGGGTCGTGGAGCGATCGAAATAGGAAGCGCAAACCGTGCATGCTAGTCCCGGTAATCGGTGAAATCATCAGGAACATCGGATTATTACTTTGTGTGTTCTATTTCGACGAGCTGAAGATGGAGGTGGCCGGTCTAGTTGAATCAATACCTACGTCTATGGCCGGCGGACTTACCGTTCTGTATCTGGCCGCGTTTTCTTACATGGGAGACATAAGTTCTGTGAGTAATGTTCTCTTGTGTTTTTGTTCGGGTTAGTTCACCGATGTTACATAAAACATTAATCGCTGAGCACAAAGAATATCTTAGATTTTTCCATCTACAATTTATTTATCGTATGACTTAATACAAACAACTTAGATTTTCTTTGAAATTTGCTTAAATTATGGTACAAGATTAAGTTATTTTTAGAATTTTTTATCAATTAACAAAAGTCTTAAATGTTAAACCTTTATTAAAGTCTGGATAAACATACAAATTCATTTTTTAAATTTTTTTTTTTTAAATTAAAAAAAAAATGTTTATAAAATTATTTATATTTTATAGTTTTTAAACGCTAATATTATATTTCAGAATGATAAAAAAAAGTTGCATTTGTACTTGCATTTATCTAAAAGATTTAAAATGTGTCAAAATATTAATGTGATTTTTAAAAAATCTAAGACTTATTCCTAACCACTAAAGTTTTCAGTTTTCCAATATTCATTTCAAAGTTATAACTTCTTATGTTTGTAAAAACATATGCTATGTAAATAGACTAAATTAAGTTAATATAGTTTCTTAATCATATTTGTTTTAAAAATAAACAATAATTGTAAATACTACCTGTAAGCCTATGACAGTCATTTTTTAAAAAGGTAACAAAAATCATTATGAATTTATAAATTATGTTAATTAAATCAGAATTTCTATAAAATAATTTTAAAATGTTGGTTTATATTTTGTTTATATACATAAGCATTTTGCAAATTCATTATATAAATTATTTTATACATAATTTTGGTATTTTGTATTCATGAATATGCAATTATTTTGCACGTATAAATCTAGACCCTAATAATGAATGTAAATAATATATATCATTTATATTTTCAGATAAAAAATAGAACTCTCAGGGTTGGTTTGATGAATTTATTCTTTGGTGTGGCTTGGCCAATCGGTGCTGCACTTTCTGGTGTTTTATATCAAAAACTAGGATTCTTCGGAGTGTATTATATCTCTACAGCATTATACATTATAGCTTTTATCTATGGCTTTGTCAATATCAAAGAACATCCAGGGCCAGTACCATTAAAAGAATCCAACCAGACGTCAAAATCTTGTATGTATCTTGTTATTGATTTTTTCAATCTGAAACATATCAAAGAAGCATTTCACACAACGTTCAAAAGAGGCCCGGGAAAAAGATGGACAAAAATCATTTTATTGATGTTTACAATAGTTGTCATCCAAGGTCCTTCACATGGTCTGTATCGAAATTATTATAATATTTTATATTATAATTATAGTTATTCAGAGTGCCGATACATGGCTGTTAAACTTTAATGCCATATTTTAAAGAAACACAATTAAAAAAAATATATATATTCAAAAATATAGAATCTTTATCTAAAGATACAATAAGCATATATGATAACTGTGTAATAAAGACACGAATAATTTTGAAAATTACCCACCCATAGGTAACACAAATTACCTATCTTATTTAATTTAAGTTTTAAATATTTTAATTTTTGTATAACGAGTTAGTTTAATAGATTACAAAACTAATTTCGATTAGATTATTTCAAAAGGTTTTCTAGAATTATTAGAGATTTTGAGGGGATCAGAATGGATAACTATTGAAAAATACTATGAAATATTTTTGCTTCATCGTCCATTAACGCCTAACAACTCATAAAGTAATTATTATTTCAGGAGAATCTGGAATTTCTTACTTTTATACGCGAGTTCGTTTTAATTGGAATGAATTGGACTACAGTTTATTCTCAACCTTCTTATTTTTGACAAACATTGCAGGTAAGAAGAGTTACTCGTCTTAAAAATAACTTATAAAAAATGTGTATCAATTATATTTTAGGTGTTGGGTTTTCGATAGGAGTTTTAAGCCACTTATTGAAAATAGACGATGCACTCATTGGAGTGATATCTTGTTTCAGCAAAGTATTGGCTGGGTTAGTATTTGCATTTGCGCCTACAGAATTTTTTTTTTACATTGGTAAGCATACATTTTATTTTTTAAATAATAAATGTATTATTATAAAAAATCTATAATTAGTATATTTTATTTTTTTACAAAGAAAAATAATATTTACAACTTTTATAGACAAAATTATAATAAGTAAGGTTTGGTTAAATATGGACTGTTTGATCAGAGAATTGAATAGTTAAATCTAAACAATTGGTGTCCATTGACACTACTTTATTTTTTTTTTTTTTAGGACTTATTTTTTTTTTTCGGGGAAAGATGGGTTTAATCATTAAGAAGTTCTCTGGGTCATTTGCATTTATGCCGAGGAGTTGGAATGTCAGGGGAAAAGCAATGGAAAAAAGGTTAGAATGGTTCTATATTAGTCCAAGTCTAGGATATAAATATAAGAAATTAAATTGTTTGTAATAGTACACGACTAACATATTTTGACGTCCATTATTTAAAAAATAAATAAATATAATATGTTATTGACCGTAAATACTTGTATATCGTTTGCTAAACTCTGTACCAAACTTATTTTGTAAAACAGTGGCATATCGTTTAATTTTTAGATTATACATCGTTTACGCATCGCCACTAAATTAATTATCGTACATCATTTTTACATCACCATATTTAACAATAAAACTGAAAGAGATCATAAGTATCTAAAATCGTAAGTTAATTAATAACATACAATTAAAATTTTACTCTCATAGTAACCAATTTTCGATTATAGAATAGATATGTATTTTTGTTTAAAAATATTAACGTATAGGTATTATATATGATATAATTAGTCACATTTTAGGATGGGATAACTTAAGTGAATGGGTGATTCGTAACCACGACCTTTGATTTCATCACAATATATATTTATATATAAGGATAACTATGATGAAAATTATTTAAAATTTAATCAAATAACCTTTTAATTTTAATTATATACACTATATACTTATTATATTACGTGAGTTATAAAAATTATTGTTCAATTTTAAATTTAACCATAATTTGGTATTAAAAGTTATTTTAACAAGTGACAACTTATCTATTTTTTAATATTTTATGTACCTTTCTATGGTTCAATGTGTTTATGTGAAAATAATGACTTAAGGTGTTCGTGTTCTTAAAAAAGTACGCAAGCTGTGTATAATGGTGTGCTTTAAATACTATTGTGCTTAGAAATCATTAACAAAATATCGCTAGTAAATATCGCGTGACAAATATATCGCGATCGCACGGAATACATGTCGCCAGTATGAAATATATAGCAGTAATTTAATTAAAAATAAATAATATTGATTATTGATTGATATTTTATAATAGTTATAAATAATTGTATATAATTCAAAACATATAATATTTTTCTATAAATATATAGCAAAATTGATAAAAATATGTATAATTTAATAAAATGTATATAAGTATTAAAAAAAATTAATGTATATTAATTAATAGAAGTATATATTAAATGAAATACCTTAAAGATGATCATCAAACTCTTGACTATGATAATCTACTACTACTTTCTTTACTCGTTCAGCCCAACTGACTGTCTTGTTCTTTTTAATTGGTGTATTTAGATTTAACAGGTACGACAATAATTTACGGTGATATTATTTCTTTACTATTTACTGATTTTACGACATTTTTGTAGCGATATTTTGGTCACGCGATATTTTACCGGCGATATTTTGTCGAGGTACCTTGTGCTTAGATAACTATATTACAGTTAAACCTGACTTAACGAACACCTGTATATAACGGACACCTCTCTTAAAGGACAAAATGTCCAGGTCCCGGAAAAAAGATAGGCATTCCAATGTATTTCGACCTGTCTATAACGGACTCCTTCTATTACGGACACGGACACTAATATTTAACCCGAAAATGTTATAACTAAAGACCGGATTCCCGTGCAATTGCATCTTTTTATGGTGTATTCTAAATTCAATAGAAACAAGCTGCACATCAAAACCAAGAGATGTAGTTTAATTTAAAGCAAGTTTTATGTTGCACAAAATTGCTCGTTTCAGGTTTTTTTTACAAAAATGTACTTTTGTATAAATATTTTTATATTTCTGTATTATTTTTATTATATTATGTTATTTTACAAAGTATTGGACTTTTATATCTAACAATATTTATATATACATAACGATATAATACGAATTAAATTAAATTTTAAATTATCAAATAAATGTAGTTGAAACAGTAAGAGATGGGCTTAAGACAATTGAAAATGAAAAGGGACAAATACTATATGAAAAATTCAAATCAGTATTTGATAAAAATCCCGGATACAAAATTTTAAAACTGTACAACAATTCAATAAATGGAAATTATGTGGATTTAAAAGAAGATCTTGCTATTATAAGCTGCTACAAACAATTCCCAAAACATATATTAAGTGACAGAAGACATAATTTTAAAGAAAAAACTTGGAAATGTACATGATTATAAATTTTAATCAAATATTGTAAAGTCAGTTATATACATATTATCAGTTTATTATTATTTTAATCGAACATTGTAAAGTCAGTTATTAGTTATTACTTATTAAAATTAATATTTGAAGTATCTATAATGAAAATTATGTTTTTGCACGGTTTTGCACATTTTAACATTTTAATTGCACATTTTTTAGATTTTAGCTGCACAAAAATCCGGTCTTTAGTCATAACGGACAAAAATACATACTACGAAACAGCTTCAATAAGAAACGCAATTAGATAATTTAGTGAAAACACGCATTACTACCAATTACATTATCGCCAATTACGATAATGCTAATTGCGAGTACCTACCTATTGAATTCATAAAGTTGAAATTTGTACAACAATTTTGGTTAATACAATTTAACAGAAATATATCCAGATATAAATTGCAATACGTATAAATGATAACTATGAGTATCAAACGTTTTTAGTTTTTATTCAGTTTCTATCGGTTCGCAGTCAGAGTTGTACATCATTTTCTTAGCAATGCCACCTCCCGCGAGGCGTAATACTTTAAATTTTAATCAAAAAAAAATTATTATTTTAGATCCTTTTAAATACTCAAATGATGGTTGGTCTATTCGTAAACTTAATATAATATGTATAATAAATTTATAATGTGTCATTGTATATGTATAATATAAAAATAATAATTAAAATTAAATTTATAATTATGTGTATAATATATAATATTAATAAAGATTATACCTAATACATATTATAATATATAAAACAATACAAAAAAAATGTGTAGATCATGCTAGTAGATTAATTTTATTTTTAAAACATTGAAACCTGTCTACAACGGACACCTGTCTATAACGGACAATTATTTTGGTCCAGTGACTATCCGTTATATACAGGTTTCAATATACTTACTATATTATGATATTATAACTAGTACCTTTTTGCTTGTTACACATTTTATATGATACAGATAACTATTTTTTTTTTTTTGGTTATTTATTTGATGTTTTAATTTATATTTTGTTAACAGGCGCGTTGGTTGATGTAATGAGTGGCACTTCGTATATCGTAATGAGATCAATTATCTCAAAGATCGTACCTCATGCTGAACTTGGTACATAAATAATATTTTTTTACGATATTTTACTAAAAATTATCTCAATATTCCACTAATTTCTAGGTCAGGTATCAGCTATAATTGCAGTCATTGAAACAATAGTACCTGTTATATACAAACCTTTGTACAGTGCAATATACAGAGCCACTCTTAACACGTTTCCAGGCACATTTTACGTCATCGGTTCAATAATGCTGATCCCAGCCATATTTATATATTGGTAAATAAAATTCTAAAATAATCTATTCATTTATTTTAATATACAGGATATACCTGCAACAAATTACATAATCAGTATAATTAATAAGTGTAATCAATCAAGTTATCCAAAAATGAAAATTTTAAAATTATTTTCCTATTTCCAAAACACTGGGTTTTATATTTATTATTGAAATAATGACTTACAGTAAAAAATAAATATTCTACAGTATTTTTTTGAAAATAAATGTTGAGATATAATATTGCGTTATGTGGTTTTTCTACCATTTAAACTACATGGGTACCATAGTTGATAACCAAAAAAACCATATGATTAATATATTCATAATATGAAGACTGTAAGAATAATTAAGTACGTTATGGTACAATTTATTTGTAAATTTTAAATACACTTACAAATAGAATAGGTACACACTAGAATTTTTTCAAAAGAATAATTAAAAATAATTATAATTTACAAATCAATGTTACTATTAGTAAGCTTTATTGTTATTAACAAATAACAATAATAAAAATAGTTTTTACTAAACTTTAAGTAATTTAATGTATTCTAAATCAATAAAAAAATTGTACCATATCAATTCATATTTATATATTCGAAAATACCATAAAATTTTCATTTTTAAATTTAAATCGTTTATTTTAAGAATTAACATGAAAAACATATTACATATATTACAGAAAAAAATTTTTAACTTTGGTAATGGGTTACTTTACTGAGTAGGTATAATTATCTTATTGATGTAATAACAATTGTTTACGAGTCATTAAAAAATAATTAATGTAACGTCCATTGTCTGTAATCTGTTATCAATACTTCTGTAATCTGAGACATTATTAATACACCAAAATAAAATCTTGTTCCTTGGATTTTAATAAATATAATTGAATATCATATGAGTGATGGTATTATTCCAATTCAACTAGCACCAAGTTTAGAAAAACTTATATTAACTCTTATCAATTTATCTTGGTTTCTAATAAAATTAAATATCAAGTTGTGGAGAATGCATAGCTATAACAAGATATTAGTTCTTTCAGCTTCCATTTCACAAATTAATTTATAGTAACATATATTCTCAAAAAATATACTTAACCTTTTGAGTTTGGTTATAGAGCCAAACATAGCACAATAAACAAAGTTTAGAGAAATGTATTAATGTTAAATCTTCATTACTTGAAAAAAAATTTCATCGCACCTGCTGTAACTTTCTAAAAATATCTTAAGCTTTTAATAGGGTATGACATGAAGGTTTTTTATTCAAATTTTAACATTTCTACCCTACATTCTCTTTATTTTGATTAAATCATACATTACGACTAGCACTTCAAATTACACTATGGATCATCAACCTCACTTAATAGTTATAACATAAATTTACGAACCTGATTAAGTTATTTATTAAATTCATATAAAAAGGAAAAAAATAATAACATCTTTTTACATTTTAATTGTTGTGATTATTTTACATGATATTTCATTTAATAGTAATGGTTTTAAATCTTAATAATTGAGAAAAAATTAATATGGAAATAAACATTATATAAATTATTAGTAGAGGTATCTATAATAGTATATTAAGTTACACTAATATAGTATATCATAATCATAAAAATAATTTAACATTTTTAATTATGTATCTGTAGTTTTTATGAAAAAATGTAAAAAAGTAATGTAGTAAACTTGAAATAGTCAAGGATAGCAATCTGTCACATGTCTCATAAAGACAAACATTTTTAGCTTTATAAACACAAAAAAAAATGTATGTCATGAAAAACAAAATAAAAATTATAACTTATGTATAATGATATACAATTTATAATTATAGGTGGATGTATCGTTTAAATAACCAAGAAGATGAGAAAAAATCCACTGTTGAAGAAATTGGATCAAATAATGTTCATGATTTAGAAAAATATTAGATTATTGATAATATTTAAGAAATTGAATAGAACACAATTAAAATAATACGTTATTTTATTTTTGAGTAATAAAAATAAAATTTATACTTTTTATATACTCTTAATTTTTTTAATTTAAAAGTGTATTCTACTTTTTATTTTCTCTTTGATATAATTATTACATTTATTTGTTTTACGAACTTCTATTAATATTTAGGACCCGAAAATATTTTATATGTTATTTAATGAAAATAAATTATATTCAATAAAAATAAATATATTAATATTTATATATTACGTACTTAAATATAAAGTATAATTTTAGTTTTATAATTGTGAATATTTTAGTTATAATTCATATTACATATTTTATATTATTAAAAAAATTTTAATTTCAAAATCTCTAGTTTTAAATACATATATTAAAATACGTTTATAAATATAAATACATATTCTTAAAAAAAAAATATATATATATACAAAACCTATAGTAATCTGGATATTTTTGTACATAGAGATTTATAAATGTATTTTAAACAATTCAACTTCAAAAGTTTATTTGAATTACTAAATAGATAAATACGGTTAAGTACCTATACTCAATTTTAAATTTTTTTTTGAAAATATATTTTTAAAGTACTGATAATGATGCTATTGAGATAATTTTATATTTTATCAAAGAAAATTATATAAAAATACCAAAAAAACAAGAAAATAATGAATATTTTTAAAAATTGTGGTGGTTTCATTAACAATTTTAAAAAATTATCACTTTTATTCAGTATTTTTTTTTAAATTCCGAACGAAAGTGATCAATGTAATTATTTTACAATATTATGTATTTAATTTATAGATTTTTTTTTTTTATGTATATATGTACATGATTTATACTATAAGTAATACTTTGATTTTTCGATTTAAGTATAAACAAAGATTACATTTAACTCGTAAATAGAAGTACATTAGTTTACATTAAATATTGATATTCACCTTTTATAAGGGCCTTTTTTACTTACTCCGCGTATTATACAATAAATATTTTCATAAAAACATATAAGAAACTTTTTAAATTTTTATTGAGGGTAGTTACTATAAGAAATTATTAATTACTCACAACTCATAAAATATTCATTAGTTGTAAAATAAATAAATTATTTATATCAGTTTATTACTTTATGTTTTAATAGTAATAAGTAATTTGATATTTCAGTTAAATTATATATATGATTCAATTAGATACTATTACATAAGTTTGAGAGATACAAGTAATACGTGTATATCAATATAAATGTTTTCGGTGCACCTACTACATTCAAATTTAATGGATAGATTAATTAATTTATAATAATGAATTTTTATATTTATTTATTTGATACATTTATAAAATATAAAAATGTTAACTAATGAAAATTAAGTAAAAAGAAATGTTCGTTACTAAAAATTATAAATTAAGATTTAAATTTTCTACATTTTATTTTATTTATAATAATTAGAAAATAGTTATTATCTTAATTTAAATTATTTATATTTAACTTTTCATGATTAAGTAAATATTACAAATAACTAACATGTTTATATTTGGTTTATAAAATTCAAATGACCTCATTGGACTCATGATAACAAAATAACATGACGTGTAATAATAATATATAAGAAACGCCAACTATTCCTCATTATTATTTCACCAGTTAATGTTTTTAACATGTTCGCGTACGTGTTATATTACTTCTATTTTTACGACATTCTTGGATAATAATTTTTAGTTTGATAAAACTTAAATTAAAAGTAAAAAAAAAAAATTTTAAAAAAAATTACGCAATAAATAGTATAACTATGATTACAACTCAACTTCTCGAATACTAGTACACATATTATGTTTATTAAACCAGGTAAAAAACAATCGTTAATAAAAATTAACTGTATATTTATTTAAAGTAATATTAATTATAATAATAAACTATATCAAAATAGTGTAATAGCATATTTAACCAAAATTTAAAAAACCTTAAAATGTAGCAAAGACATTGATTTAAGTAATAATGTGTAATGGGTAGAATACTTGCTGCGATTAACTTCTATAGTGTAAGTATTTTATTTTAATATTAAATAGTTGCTAGTTATTCACTAATATAGATATTAATATATAGTATATATTACCGAGTGATCCATTTACCGTTATACACTTATATCTACCAAGAGCTATTAACGTTTAAAAGATATTTTTTTTCATTGTCTTAAGTCATTAAAAACGACTTTTTCTTAAAAAGATATATGTTTTTTTTTAATGACAACGTAAGCGTTGATAAATTAAATTAAATGTTTTGAGTTTAAACCGATGGAGTGGAGTGGTAATAATTGCAAGGGTACCTCGCAAAACGGCGGTACACTATTCTGTTCATCAAAGCTCTAAACGCTTATAGTCAATGACCAAGTTAATAAACACTTAAGATCGTTAAAGGCTTTGTTACCAACAAAAACTGTATAGAGTTATAACATTTTTTTTTTGTCTATCCCTGCACAGTTTGAATACAATTGCAGTGTGCGCGCCGGAGATTCAAATCGACCTAATATAAGTCATCAAATTCGACCGCGCACTTTGTACACGCTTTGAAAACGGTCGAACGTCGGAACAGCCGACGGACAACCGCGACGGGAAAAAGATAAAAAAAACAGTGATGAATACCGACGACGAACAATCCGCGGCGCTCGACGACGCGTCAAAGGTTCCGCGCGACGGTGACGCGCCCGGCGGCGCGGACACGGTCTGGTCGCGGGCCAAACGCGCGCTAAGCAGCGTCCACGTGGAACCGCTGGTGTGCTGCTACATCGTGTCCCGGATGCTCATGTTGCTGGCCACGCAGAACCTGAGCCTGCAGAAGGCGTGCTCGGTGAACCTCCGGCTGGACGACGACACGTGCGCCGCACTTCTGGTCAAGTCCAAGACGAACGTCAGCACGCCGCTGAGCCGGAACGAAGTGGCCACCCAGCAGCTGGTGGCCGACATGCTCCTGTGGCAACTGATCGTCCAGAGCGCCGTGCCGTGCGCGCTGGCCGTGTTCGTCGGGTCCTGGAGCGACCGGCGCCGGAAGCGCGTGCCGTGCATGCTGGTGCCCGTGGCCAGCGAGTTCGTGCACGCCGTAGGACTGGCGGGCTGCGTTTACTGGTTCCGCGAGCTACCCATGGAGGTGGTCGGAGTCCTGGAGGCGGCGCCCACGGCTCTGACCGGCGGCCGGATGGTGCTGTTCAACGCCATGTTCAGCTACGTCGCCGACGTCACCCCCGTAAGTACCGACCACCGGTCTTTGGCGATTGCGCCGGATTTTTGAAGGCTACTCGAATAATAAAGTCTAAATACGTTTCTCTGCGCCGGACGATTTACCGTAGGTGTATTAAATAATGACCATACCGTAAAAACGGCACCAGGATAATAATACCACGACGAAAACACGAATCGAAAATATTCACGTTTTAAATAATATGCGTTGTATAGTACCTACGATATTAGTATAAAACATTTTTTCGATATTTTAAAATGTGCTCGACATTTACGAAATATATCTTTTTTCAGAATTAGGTAATTTCGGTCGAAATAAATACGATAGAGAATTTATTATATTCATTAAGTATAGGTACGATTTAAAAATTTTTTTTAAGTAGAACCTATACAACAGATAATAAAGCAATAATAATTTTTCGTTTTTGTTATTGAAAAATCAACCAATAATAATAATAATATCGGTTCTAATATGTTTATACATTATATATATTTACAGGAGGAAATGAAGACTCTACGAATCGGTATTGTCAACTTACTATCTACAGTAGGCATGGCCATCGGCACAGCGTTGTCTGGTATAACATTTCAGAAGCTGGGGTTCTATGGTGTGTATGGCTCGTCGTCGCTCCTATGTATACTAGCTCTCCTATATGGTCTGATATTCATAAAAGAAGTGCCACCGCCGAACAAATCGGACAATATGACGCAGGCACAAAATAATGGTCTATTTAATGGTTTTTTTAACGCAAAACACATTCAAGAAGCATTTAAAGTTACTTTCAAAGACGGTCCACATAATCGAAAACTCAGAATAATCATGTTAATGTGTATTGCATTTTTAATCATGGGACCTTTAAACGGTTTGTAGACAATTTATTCTATATACATGCTCTTACAAGTTATTAAAAAATTACTTAGATATTAAATACTAAATACGAGTACAATACTAAAATCAACAAATGATTAACTTCCTATAGTTGCGACTTTATACATTATTGTAACACGACTAAAGTTGTATTATGATTTATACAGGTGATCTTACGGTATCGTATTTGAATACGCGTGCCCGATTCAATTGGAATGAAGTAGATTTCAGTGTGTTTTCAACTGTTTCTATGGTCATTAGTGTAGCAGGTAATTTTAAAATAGTGATTTTATTTGAGGTGGATAGTTACTAAATATAAATACGTCAATTTCAAACAAAGAAGTACAAAATATAAAATACATTTTATTTTAACGAGTTAATACAAAATACAAGATAGTCAATACAATTAAAAAAAAATTATGAATATAATTAATTATACATAATATTATCAATACAATTAGTAATTTAAGTCATATAAATAAAATAACAGGTTTCTATCAAAAATTGTTGGATTATGGTCCGAACGTTTTGACCTAATCGGAGCATGAACTAAGCCAGCAGATAAAAACATTTGTCTAACTGGGACTAAAGAACTTACATTTTTTGGAAAGAATAAAAAATGTCTACATTAATAGAAACATGAAAAATTAAAAATAAAAAGTAGTTAATATTTACTAAAATTATATTATTATTATTATTATATTAACTATATTATTATTATTATTATTATTATTTTTTTATGAAAAATGAAAAGTAGTTAATATTTACTTAGACTATATTATTGTTAACGAAACTACTTATTAATAAATATAGAAAATATAGAAATACTATTTAAAATACTTATTAAATACTAAATATTAGATACGATAATAGTTCAATTACTATCAACCCACGGGCCACGGATATAACTAAAACTACACAATATGACTATTTTTTTTTTTTTAATCTTGACTTTCAAGTAATTAAATTTATACCCATGAAAGTATAAAACTATACTTTTCGAAACTTTACAAGATAAAAATTTTAAATAAAATACAAAAAAAAAATAAAAATATTTAAATAATAAATAATTATAATGTTTTGTGAAAAAATACAATATATTATTATTGGAGAACATAATTTAGTCTATGTGAATTTATCAAAACTAAATATTATTTAAGACCATATATTATCTGCCTGATTATTATCACATAATATTCAATGTATCAAATGACTAAAACAAAAATTGCTTTATATTTTAGGTACAGCAATTTCCATCGGATTATTAAGCCACATACTTAAAATCGACGACAGTTTAATTGGAGTAATGGCGTGTGCAGGTAAAATCTTTGCCGGAATATGTTACGGTTTAGCGACAGATGAAAAGATATACTATTTAGGTGTGTATTTAACATTTATAAAATCATATTAACTAGTATTTAACTACCTATCCATGATATATTAGTGAATAAGAAAACAAATATTATACCCTTATCATGGGGCACTTCATTCTTATCTGACTTGAACACTAATAAGCTAAAAATAACACAACAATTATCACTCAATATCACTCACTAAGTTGATAAAAACCAAACAAAGTTTAAATTACTATATAAAATTAACTGGTATAGTGATGATGTGTAATAAAAAATACGCTTCATATAAAAGCTATTTTGATTTCAGGACCGTTAGTAGATGTTATGGGAGGCACAATTTTCATAACAGCTAGATCAATTATGGCAAAAATAGTCAAACCAGATGAACTAGGTAATAAGTGTTATAATGTTTTTTTATTTGTTTTCCACATATTTTAAAATTTAAACAGCATTATAAATTATAATGTATAGGACAAGTGACGGCTATTTACAGCATCGTCGAATCGCTCGTTCCGATTGTGTTTGGCCCACTATATACAGTGATCTACAAAAATACAGTTGACACATTACCCGGAGCATACAATTTAATAGGATCGACTTTAGCCATACCTGCGATTTTAATATATTTGTAAGTGAATGACATAAATTTAAGTAACTATCCATATTTTTATTTTCGGTATATTATATTAATAATCTAATAAAATGCAATAACAAATATTAAAATAAACTTTTATAAAACGAGTGAAAAATAATTTATTTAAAATTTTATTTAAGATTTCTATTTTATAATTTTTAAATTTTTAATTAATCTATAATTGCTAACAAAATTATTGAATATAATTCAATAAGCTACCTATTCGATTAGTGTTTGATTTGTTTTTATGTAATCCGTTTAAAAGAAGAATAATATTTGTTAAAATGTAAACATTTCATATTAATTTGTTTAATTTATTCAGATGGATGTACAAAGAGAGCAAGCTATCAAAGAAAAATAATGATATATCTGTTAAAATTGAAAATGACAAACTTTGAAGCCTAAAATAATGCGAACCACGAGTAATTCAATTATTCATCGCAGAAATTTGAATGTGATAAAGATCATCAACGTGGAAGTATCAAGGAAAAATCAGTTTTACGTATTTTTTATAGAAAGAAAATAAAAATATGCTATAATAATAAAAATTATAATAAATTTTCGTACTTGAAAGCCAAATTAAGTCGATCGGTTTTTTTTTTATTCGATATTTTTGACAATATAAATATATTAATATATATTAATTAATTGTATTAGGTAATAAAAAATTTTTTCAAAATTTTTAATGGAATTAGTTCCATTAAACAGTATATATATAACAGTATTAGTACTGTTACTCAAATATTTAAATATGAAGCATGCAGAGTATACGATTACATTCTCAAATTATTGACGAAAGAGCCTTTTTGACTAAGGTTTTAAGAGCTACTTCCCACTAAACTTTTGAATTTTGGGTGACTATGCTTTTTTATATTTAATATACTTTATATATGTAGTGGATAATATTGAGTATAACATAATAAAATTTTAAAAATGAAAAACAGTTTGAAATTATGTAGATAAAAAAATCACTAACATTAATTGGTATAATATAATCTAAGTCAAAGTCTATATTAATACACCAATAAAATCAATAATGTGCCTCAGTGGTTTGTTATTGTTATCAATGATAAAATGCGACGAATTAATAACAATAACAATAGCAGCTAATTAAACAATAGGTAATTTATACTTCATTATCTATATGTCATAATATAGTGGGTGTTATTAAAGAGACCTATTAACGAATTCCTCTCTGCGATATTATAGTGAAATTGTAATTTCAAATATAATTTCATATAGCCATTAAAATTATTTACAAAAAAAAATTTACGAAATTGAAAATTTTCAGAATAATTTTCTCCGTTTCATTTTTTTTAACTTCAACTTATACATAGTTCTCTAGCTAACTATGTTTAGCTAATCACAAATTAAAACCTTTCAGAGATAGACGTAATTTTGTCTAATCGACGACTTCTTCCTCCAATTCAATATTTCTCTTAAAATAAATAATCATGACATTAGAAACTAAAACTTATTTCATATTCCTCATTATTTTCAAAACAATATGGCTTCTTTGCCAGTCAATATTTTATTATCTATCAAAAATAAAATTAATAGCATAAACATTTTTAAATGTTAAATGTATAGCTTTTGATTTTACTTAGATTCTGGGCGGATTTATGAATGTATTGACTTAACAATGAAGTGTTTTTTCCTGTCAGTTATCGTCTTTTAGAACAGTAAAAATGCTTCAACAATTAACATTCATTAAATCTTTAAAATTATTAAATTTTTAAAAATATATTTCGTACATAATTTTACTTATTGTGTTTAATCATTTAATGACAGCATATGTTTTAATAACTTAAAAGTTATAAATCAATACCAATGTACCGTATATAATAGTATATTAGTACCAAAATAGCTTAAACAACAAAGAATTAATAGTGTTAATAATTTGAAAATTTCACAATGTATACTAATAATAATAATGGTTTTATAATAACCACGGTAATAATAATAATTATGGTTTTAAAAGTACGTCCAGAATATACAAGACTTATACATTAATATCTAATGCGCAAAAAACCCGGACCGATGAACCGTTATGCAAAATGTATTTTTGTACAGTCTATGATATTCTTTGAATATCCCTCCTACCTATACAAACAAAATTAAATTATTAACAACATCGCATCTAAAGAAATATTTGGTTCCAAAAAATAATCAAAAAAATTATAAAATTTCCTTAAAATAGGACCTCAAAAGTAAATATATAGAACAAACACCAAAAATACCTATATTACCACAATTTTGTTATTATCGTATTATAATACTATTTTGAAAATGTTCATAATTGTCTAAAACTATTTTAAGGTAACAATGTATTTGAATAATTTATTTAATAGTAATAAATAATAATATATAAAATGGTTTGAAAAGTTTCAAAAAATTAACAAAAATATTTTTTTATTTTCAACAAAATAACTAAAACTGTTATAAGAAAAATCAATATTACTCAATTAAAATATCTCACAAGTTTGTCAAACTGTCTACTTCAATGAAGAATTTACTTATGATAAATCATTGTCAGACATAATTATTATCATCAATATATTCTCAAGAAAGAACACTAAAATTAAGCACAAATTGTATTTATCACCTCAAGCTATTGCTTAATACCCTAGTGATTACTAAAATTTCTTTTAAACTGTCAAAATTAACGGTTTTCATTTCATCAAGTTATTAAATTGAATTTTATCAAATATCCAAGCTTTAAAAGTTTTAAAAATGAAGATTTATGAAAATATTTTTAGTAGAAGTATACAATACGTTTTTACTTTTTACGATTTGTACACTGATAAAGAAAAACATTCTGCATTGTGTAATCTGTATATTTAACATTATACACAACGTAATATGTACAAAAATCAATTATGTACGCAAAATTGCGATACACAATTTGGACTTGGTACGTAATAATAAATACTAAGGTCAATGGCATAATTAAAACAATTTAATGATAATGAAAATGTAGGTCTTATTTCTGGGAGATGGTAAACTGCGGCAAAATTTACCTTTTTCTAAAAGTCGATATGTGAACTGCGGCAAAAAAATAATTAAGATTATACAATCTGCGACAAAACCGATAAGATACATCATACAAACTACGGCAATTTATTTTATATACTTATACACGTTTATTGTTTAATTAGGTATAATACGTATTACGTGTTATGGCAGCTATTAGTATCTCTTAAAGTACTAGGCGTAAAAATAAAGAAAACCCAATTTTTAAAATTGAAAAATATATTATTATTAAAAATTAGATCGTAATGATTGTGTAATCAAAAAACCAATTTTAAAATTAAAAAATATTATTATTATATTAAAAATTATTTAAAAAAATTGTTTAATTAAAAAAAAAAAATAAATAAATAAATAAATAATAATACAATAGGTATCTAATTAAATTGCCGCAGTTTGTATGATATATCTTTCGGTTTTGTGGCAGATTATATAATCTTAATTTTTTTTTTTGTCGCAGTTTACATATCGACTTTTTGAAAAAGGTAAATTTTGCCGCAGTTTACATACAGCCTTATTTCTTAGACTTTTCAGTAAAACCTGAATCATAGTTATTTTTACTTATTTTTGACATACATGGTCTTTACTTTATTTTTAATTGATAAAAAATTTTAAGTGGCGAGACGATTTTTTTTTTATCTATCTTCACTGTTTGAAGTAGCTATAATGCTTATATTTTAAGCTTCAATATCTTTTCTGTTAGAATTTAATTAGTCATTCTGAGGGAAAAAATAAAAACACAATTAGAAAAATAGGGAAACTTATACAATAAACCAGTTTTTCAAGTTTTTGATTAAATCAATAACTTTATGTAACTGTAATTTATTAACAAATACTTGCAATTTTCATTAAATATTTAAATAACATAATTTTTTATACATGGTATATTTATTTATTTTGATCGGCAAATGCCCTTGATAATCCATATTTTTATTAAAACAAGATACTTAAGATTCGATAAAAAATGTTTAAAATTTAAATAATTTTTATTAAAATGATGCTACTTTAATTTTACATATTTTGGTATAATACAAAGTTCATTTTCTCACTTGGATAATTAATTCCTTCAATTGTTATTAGCAATAATAACTTATTACTTATACATATTAATTAAATTATTTAAATACATATTAAATAAATACCATGAAAATAAATCCATACAAAATATATCATAACTAATTCCATACATCTAAAAATTAAATTTAATAGTAAACTTATCCATTAAGTAATTTAAAAACAAAACAGAGATCTAACCTTTTTCTTCGTATACTCAACAATTTATGCATACAAAGAATAAAAGTAACTGATAAGAAGAGTAATCACACATTTAATAGACAAAGTTCTTAAAAAACCATTTTGTTTTTACTCAATTATTTATATTAGATCTACTTTCCTAGATAACTAAACTTTAAAAACAAGTCACAACACAATGCTTTCAATGCATATACATTGTTAAAACCTTTACAGCTTCTACTTATAAAACCTAACATAAAAAAAGCGTTGTCTTGTGTACTTATTTAATATTTATTTAATGATACAGATGCATCAAATATTAGTCCTAAGACTTTATTCTTGTATATACAAGCAAGTTATGAATTATTTAAGTATTAACAATGGAAATATAGTATCCAGTTTTTTCGAGAATATTAATACTTTTAATTTAGAAAAATTTTAAAACAAGTTATTTCAGTTATACCATTCATAGAGGTCGTTTAGGTAATTTAAAAGTAGCTACTAAGTATAGCGAGCCATAAGTATAATATTAAACATTATATACATTTAAAATAATATTATTATATATTTATTATTATATTTCTGATCATAATAACATTTAATCAATTTTAACTATAGTGTAAAATAAGTGTACAAGTAACAAGTTTTAATCCGGATATTGACTTTCTCGTGAAGAATAAGCAATGTCAAAAATCACATTAAATGGTTTATCTAGTGATAAAGTTGAATTAAGTTTTTTTTTTAATTTTTTTAATTTTTTATTCCTAATAACTATATATGTATATAATATATGATATGTTATGTTATATATTATAATTTTATGAAAACGTATATAGGTATGCTATGGATGGGCCTCAAATATTTTTTTACAAAACTAATGGTCCGCGAAACTAAAAAGGTTGGGAACCGCTGATTTATTTTATACAATGATATGAGTACGTACGTATTGACATATATGAAATGACAATGACAAGACGTCTCTTACCTATTTTTTTAACTAGGTTTTTTTTATACTTCGATTATTTTAAACGTAAATATAACTTTTTAATTTTCCAAAAAATTCAATTTTTTCGGAAATGTATTATTTGAATATTATTCAATTTTTCCATATTTTTCTAAGCTCTGAGAAAAAAAACGATTTTTTCCGATAATTTCTCAAAATTTTCTGGCTGTTTAATCCCTACCACTAATATTAATAATTTTAACGTATCGTTAATGAAAGTAACTATGAATAAAAGGATATAATATGTAAACCCACTCGTAAATAATATAATTTCAAGCTTGATATCATGAATAGCATGATCAATTTTGTTATAAG